CTGGTATTGCTGCATCGCATGGATTTTGGTATGTTGTTACTCTGCTTTCACTTGTCTCTAGGTATTTTTTAATTTCTTCGTTGACCTATTGGTTTTTTGGTACATGTTGTTTATTTCTATGATTTTGTGCTTTGTGGTTGATATTTAGTTTCATAGAATTGTGGTTGGAGAACATGCTTGAATTGATGTCAGCCTTTCTGAATTTATTCTGAGACTTTGTGACAATATATGATCTGTCTTGGAGAATGTTTCACGTGCACTTGAAAAGAATGTATATTTTGGTGCTTTTGGATGGAATATTCTATATATTAAGTCCATGTAATCCAATACATGATTGAAATTTGTTTTCTTTCTGATTATTTTTTTCTGGGTGATCTATCCATTGATGTAAGTAGGGTGTTAAAGACTTTTACTATTATTGTTTGCTTTCAATTTCTCCTTTAGGTTTGTTAATATTTGAGTTGTATATCTTAGTCCTCCTCTCCTAGATGCATGTACATTTGTAAATGTGTTACCTTTTTCCTGGATTGATACCTTTATCATTATGTTTGCTCTTCTTTGTCTTTTATAGTCTTTGTTTTAAAATCTTCTTTCTCTGATATGAGTATAGCTAGTCCAACTTTCTTTTTGTTTATATTTGCATTGAAATGTTTTTCAATTTTTTCACTTTCAGACTGTGTGTATCCTTTCTCCTGAAGTGAGTCTTGTGTAGACAGCATGTAGATAGGTTTTTTTTTTTCCCTTTAAATTCAAACAGTCCCTCAGTGTCTTTTAATTGGCTGTTCTAGTCCATATACATTTGAAGTAGTTCTTGATAAATACATACTTACTGTCATTTTGTTAATTTTTTCCTGGTAGTTTTGTAGTTCCTCTCTGTTCCTTTCTTCTCTTTTCCTCTTTCTTTGTGTTTTGGTAGTTTTCTTCAGTGATATATTTACATTTCTTTCCATTTTCTTTTGTGTATTTACTACACGTTTTTTTCCCAGTGGTTATTACAAGATTCACATCGAACTGTCTATATAAGTAGTAGCCTGTTTTAAACTGGTAGCACCTTAAATGCCAAAGCTTTCTCTAACAAAAGTTTTTCTCAGTGTTTTATGCTTTTGATGACATATATTGTCTCTTAATTTAAAGCATCCATTGTTATTGGAATTTAAATTTACTGCTTTTTGTCTTTAAACCATCATGTTTGCTTTATAAGTGATTGATCCACTACCTTTATTATATATTTACCTTTTCCAGTAATATTTTTTACTTGTGTATGTTTTCTTACTATTAATTAGTTCTTTTTCTTTTCAGCTTAAGAAATCTCTTCAATATTTCTTATAGGGCCAGTTTAGTTGTGATGAACCTCTTTAAACTTGTGTTTATCTGGGAAACTCTTCATCCTTTCTTCAGTTCTGAATGATAAACTTGCTAGATGGAGAATTCTTGGTTGAAAGTTTTTTCCTTTGTCGCACTCTGAATACATTATGCCATTCACTCTTGGCCTGTAAAGCTTCTGCTGAAAAATCTGCTGATTGTCTTATGGGACTTACTTTGTAGGTAATAAGTTGGTTTTCTCTTGTTTTTAGAATTCTCTCTTTATCCTTAACTTACATGCCATTTTAACTATGATGTGTCTTGGTGTATGTTCATTAGAGTTAATCTTTGTTGGAACTCTCTGGAATTCCTGGGCCTGGATGTCTTGTTTCCTTCCACAGGTTAGAGAAATTTTTGGCCATATTTCTTCAGATGAATTTTCTGGCCCCTTTTCTCTCTTTCCTTGTTCTGGGATCTATGTAATGCAAACGTTATTTTGCTTTATGCTGTTTCAGTGGTTTCTTAAGTTAATTCCACTTTTTAAGATTCATTTTGCTTCTCTGTCTGGATAAGTTCAGTTGTTTTGTCTTGCACCTAACTGATTCAGTCTTTTACCTCATCCAGTCTACCATTGAACTCCTCCAGTATATATATATTTTTAATTCAGTTATAACTTATTTGATACTTTCCTGTATTTCTGTCTCTATGTTAATCCATTCTCCTCCTGCATTCAGTGAGCATCTTTATGGCTAGAAGCAACAGGAAATGGGTTATTAGAGATTGCTAGATTAAGAACATAAAAATACTTTTCAGTGGCACAGAGGCAGGGGAAAAACATCGTAGAAATATTTTTAAAACTTAGTAACTAAGAGCTATTGATAAATCTTAATTGTATCACTAGGCTCTTAATGTATATAGCATAGTAAAAGCAGTATGTCAGAGTTAGAATAAACATTAATGAGTCTCTTATCCACTATTTCTGAGCCTTTTGTCTTTTTTACACATCATATGGGTAGATATAACTCAAATATGGTATGAGTGGCTCTAGTAAGAATTTATGCTAAGGTGGTGGTTTAGTTGTCTGACTCTTGTTGACCCCATGGACTGTAGCCTGCCAGGCTCCTCTCTCCATGGGATTCTCCAGGAAAGAATACTGGAGTGGGTTGCCATTTCCTTCTCCAGGGGATCTTCTTGACTTAGGAATCAAACCTGGGTCTCCTGCATTACAGGCAGATTCTTTACCAACTGAGCTCCAAGGGAAGCTCCCATTCAGAAAAGTCAGAAATACTGTGAAAACTGTCCAAATGTGACACAAAGACATGAAGTGAGCAGATGCTGTTAGAAAAAGGGCACCAAGGACTTGCTCTCTGTAGGGATGCCACAAACGTCCAATTTGTAATTTAAAAAAAAAATGGTGAAATGCAACAAAACAAGGAATGCCTATACAGATGTCAAATTATAATGCTGCAGACCTGAAACTTTTAATGACAACAACCAAAAAACCGATTCAGGGACGACCAAGGAAAACTTGAATTGGAAAAAGATTTAGGCCGCATTTATTTAATCCAAGTATTAACTGTAACTGAGTAAAGTATTTCTCAAACACTCTCCCTAATATTCAAAGTTATATAGCCTTCTTTTCTTCTTAACCGTGAACTTCATTTTGGAGCTCTTTGGAATTAAGCAATGTTGAACTGGCCCTTGAAAAACACAGGAGTTAGGGACACTGACCCTCTGCAGAGTCAAAAATCCACATGTAACTCATAGTCGGCCCTCCATATACATGTTTTGGATCCTCTGTGTCTGTGGTTCACATCCTCCTATTCAGCCAACCTTAACTCATGCTATAATGATTCTTTTGGCAGGGGAAAATGTGTGTGTTTGTCTGGTGTGTGGTGCAGGGTGATGATATATACACATGGGAGTGTATGTATATATATGCGAGTGTATCTTTATACACATGGGAGTGTATGAGAGTCTCTTGTTTTTGAGGAGGGGACCATGTATGCAGTTTGACTGTGTCTCCTTCCTCTGTGCTTATCATGACTATATTATGTTACGTTCCTATCTTCAGCTGTCCTAACGCCTCCCTTACATTCACATTTCAGGAAAAATTGGTCTTTTCTAAACTATTGATATTATAGATAAACTGAAGTCTACTTGAGAGATTGAATAGTTAGTATTAAGACAGACTAAGAACCTAATTATCTTGGCTTCCAGTCCAATGTTTTATTTTGCCCATGTAGTACTTACTATGCAAAATGATAGAATAAACAGTAAGAGTGAAATTGCATTCCTCATACTCTTTTTTTTTAAAAGAATGGGGGGAAGTGTTAGTATATTTTAGAAAGTTTTTTCCCTTACAAAATCATTACACAAAACAAAAAACACTTGTAAGTAAAACTGAGGCATTTTAGATGGAAGTTGTTCATTTCCTCAAAACAAATAGATAGATGCAGTATTAAAATAAAATGATCACCTATTATATGTTAATTTGTTGGGAGTCTTAGTTCTAAAAATGAAGTATATGAGAGAGGTTCAGGAGGAAAGGGACATAATGTATATCTGTATCTGATTCATGTTGATGTATGGCAGAAACCAATACAATATTGTAAAGCAATTATCTTCCAGTTAAAAACAAAAACAAAAAATACCCAAAAAAGTAAAAGTAAAGTACATTTGATTTCTGTGCATTTAGGCTTTATATTTGGAGTTTGTATTATTTTGTGTTCTTGCATAATGAATTATTTAGTAATTAGTGATATATAATAAGAGACTTTATTGTCTTCTCCCAGTTTCTATGGAGTCCAGGCATAGCATAGTTTAACTTTGTCCTTTTTTGAGGGTCTTTTTCTAGGTTTAGATGAAGGTGTAAGCCTGGACTGCAGTCTTTTCTGAGGCTCTGAGTCCTCTTCCAGGTTCATTTGTATTTTCAAAATTGACTTTTTCAGGGCCATGGGACGAAGCTCTCCGTTCCTAGAGCCTGCCCACCGTTTTCTGGCATGTCGCCATCTTGTGCAACATGATAGTTGGTTTTTAACGTCAACAGAACTGCTCTGCTGCTTTTGAATATTTCTGACTTCTAGTATGGCTTTTTAAGTGTCTTACCTGATTAGGTCAGGCACATCAGAATAATCTCCCTTTTGATTAAACTCCAGTGACATGGGCCTTAGCCATGTTACCTTTGCCATATAATACAACCTGATGATTAGAGGGAAATCTGGGAATCTTGCCCACAGTTGGAGGAGAAGGATTATACACCAGAGGGGTGTGTACACCAGCAGATGGGAATCTTGGGGTTGATCTTAATGTTATGCCTACCACAAGGTTATCAAAGAGTGCAGTGGCTCCTTTTTTCAGTACAAATAAGATCTTTCCTGTGTGCCAGACATTTCTGTAGGCCATGGAAATAATGAGGCTCAAATGCACAGTTCCTTTCTGTGGTGAAGTGGTGGAGACCAACAGTGAAGCAGTGTTTATAACATAGTTCAGCAATGCAGGTGGAGCAGAGGTGTAACCTGACTCCCTGTGCTTCAGGGAGGAGGCTGTTTCAAGAAAAGTTTGTACAGAAAAAGTGAAAATCCTGCTGCAGTTCTTAAAGCTACATAATGTTTTAAAAATTGTGTATTGATTTTCTAGGAAGCAGAGTTTGATATTTAAGATGAGGAAGTTATTAAAGCCCTTCTTCTTTCCCCCAGATGGTATACCTCAAGTTTACTATTTTGGCCCTTGTGGTAAATACAACGCTATGGTGCTGGAACTACTGGGACCTAGTTTGGAAGATTTGTTTGATTTGTGTGACAGAACATTTTCTCTTAAAACGGTTCTCATGATAGCTATCCAACTGGTAAGTAAAGCAGGATGTTTTGAAGCTGCTTGAACAGTTGTATGGTTTCATTTGGTGACTAAGTTACTTTAAAAGTTAAAAGTTGTGCAACATTGTCGTTCACAGCATTCAACCTAATAAAAATATGTCTACTTTTCATATCATTGTCTTGTCAGGATGAATGTAGCTTAAAATAACTGATGCAGATATTTTTTTTTGTATGAAAAAATTGGTATATTATTGCTTTAAGATCAATGCTCAGTTGGAGAATTAAGTGGTTTCCAGCACTCTTTTCATGTCAAAAATGAATACTTAGGGAGGTTCAAAAGGGAAGAGATATAGGTATACCTGTGGCTGATTTATGTCGAGGTTTGACAGAAAACAACAAAATTCTGTAAAGCAGTTATCCTTCAATAAAAAAATAAGTTAAATAAGAGTGAAAATAGCAAACGTAGGTGATGATATGGAGAAAAGAGAATCCTTGAACACTGATGGTAGTGATGTAAATCGGTACAGCCACTGTGGAAAACAGTATGGAGATTTCTCAATAAAACTAAAAAAAAAGATCTACCATACAGGGAAAAGAAAAATGAATACTTAGAGAACCGTCAGAAACACAGGTTTTTAATCTCAGTAAATTAATGTAAAATGGCCTAGGAAAAGAAGAAACAAACTAGTGAGGGAGTCTTAGACATTTAAATTTCAGGGAGCCTATGGGGAAATAACTTAGAGGATAATTTTTAAGGATGTTTCTAAACAAATGTTAATATGTTGCAGAAGTCTTAAAATTGTTTTTAATCTGTTGATTTTTTTCACTTCTGCAGATTTGCCCTATAGAAGTATTCAGGTGTACTTAAAAGCTTTTTGTCCAGAGATGTCTATAATAAAATGGGAAACAACCCAAATGCACAGAAATGTTAGTTGAATAAATTATTAATAACAATAAGATAATATATAGTCATTAAAAATTGTTTATTAAAAGAATATTTCATGACCTGAAAAATGCTCATAACACCTTGTTAATGAAAAGTATAGGTCATAGAATGTTATGTATATATATGACCCAAAATTTGTTAACAAACTAAAATGGTTTGAGTGACTGTGTTCACTTACGTTGTATTGTGAACCATGATTATTACTAAATGAAGCATTTTTATTTACTTACTTGTAATGTTTTATTTTGTGACAATTTATACAATGAATATTGAGTAATTGTAAAGCAAGGAATAAAAATGTATTATATTATTATTAGAGTTGTATTCCAAAGTTTTCTAGTTTCAATATCTTTTTAAATGTTTAATATGTAAGAAAAGTAAACAAGTTATGAAAAAGTACAATATGACTGAAGGGTGCTCTGTTAACTGTTTTTAACAGTTTAGACTCTCTAAGTTTCTTTAGTGTAATAATTGTAAAGTTTTTCCATTGTTGAACTGAAAAGGAAAAATAAATTGCAATTTTCTGAATATATCTGTTTATACTTTTAAGATTTTGTATTGGTAAATCTATTTGATTGTATAAGGTGGCATCATCTGAAAGTTTTGATTAAATCAGTCTTCCTGATTTGAAAGGAATTCATAAAATTCAAGCACTTCCATTTATAAGTGACCAAAATAGAAAAAGAGGTTTCATCATAATTGAACATGTCTTTGAGAAACTGTGGAGTGATAGCCTGTTGCTTTTAAGGGGATAAAACAGTTTCTGGTTTTTTTTTTTTCTTCTTTACATTGTTTTCATTGTGAAAATTGTCTTGCCGCTCTCATCCTATTTTATGCTAGTCAAGCCTAAAATAAAACTTACCTTTTTTTTTTTTCTTTTTTGCATCAAGATTTCTCGCATGGAATATGTCCATTCAAAGAACTTGATATACAGAGATGTAAAACCTGAGAACTTCTTAATAGGCCGGCCGGGAAACAAAACCCAGCAAGTTATTCATATTATAGATTTTGGTTTGGCAAAGGAATATATTGATCCAGAGACAAAGAAACACATACCATACAGAGAACACAAGAGCCTTACAGGAACAGCTAGATATATGAGCATAAACACACATTTAGGGAAAGGTATGTGTACCTTTTGTAAGTATGGATGTTTGAACTCAGTATGCTGACAGTGTGAGTTTTTATTTGTTATTATGTTTCAGTTTTTGCAGGTTACAGTTGCTTCTATTGTAATTTTTATTTATCTCATCTAGAGTGTACTTTCATTTGTATTTGATAAGTCTTTTAAAGTAACTTGTTTGAAATAAATGGATGACAGATATCCTTATAGTCACTATATCTTTTTTTTTGTAACTTGTAATATTTAACTTTGATACACTTAGGGTGATCCATTTGATTATTTCTGTTAAAAGAATGTCAGAGAATACTTAATTTTAACTGAATTTAATGTGTGTAAAGATTTCGGATTGAGACTTTAGCTCTGATACAGCTAGCCAGGGAGATAGCAACCTGCCTAATACATTGAATACTGAGACTACATATCTTAGAGGTACTGTTTACTTTGTACTATTATTTAACCTTTTAAAGAAGGTCTCTTATTTGTATAAAGGATAAAATAATATCAACTGCACAAAATTTCTTATAGCTTTTTCTCCCCTTGGTTCAAGTTCCAGTTCAGGATCACATATTTCATCTTTTTGTCATATCTCTTTAGTGTCTTTTCATCTGGGACAGTTCCTTGCCTTTCTTTATGGTTCATGACATTGATATTTTTTGAAGTGCAGGCTGTTTGGTAAAATGTCCTGTGTTTGAGGCCGTCTCATATTTCTTCATGATTATACTTGGGTATGCAGTCTAAGCACAGATATCGTAGAAGTGATATGATTTCAGTGCATCACATCAGAAAGGGACATGATGTCGCCTTGGTTTCAAGTAGCTTTGATCACTTGCCTAGGGTAGTGACTGCTAAGTTTCTCCACTTAACGGTTTCTTATTTTCCCTTTGTATTTAGAAAATGTTTTCTAAGATGAGTTTTGAGATTTTGTAAATAGGTTTGTTTTTCATCAGATTTATACCCATTAAATTATTTTCTGACTTCATCATTACTTATGTATTCTAGTTTACATTCTAATGTAGGCAAAAGCTGTCCCTTCTTCCCTAATTTGTTAATTTATATAAGCATGGACTCATGGATTCTTATATAATTGGATGTATTATAGTCCATTGCTGTCATTATTTATGTTGTGATTTATTTTGAAGTGCAGGTTGTCCCAAATTTGGCCGCTGGTTGCTCTGTCATGCTGGCTCTGCTGTTCCTTTGGCATGTTCTCATGACTCTTGGAAAACTTACTTCCTTTTTTATGCAGCATGTTGTTCCAGGCTCATCTTATAGCTTTTCTACTCTAGCCCAGATACAACATTTTCTAAGCAGCCCTGGGTCCTTTTATTGAATAATAAACACACACACATAATAAAACCAGGAAATGTGTGTAGGTGTGTCTATTTTGGTTTCTACCAGCAGCAAACGGGAGTTCTGTTTGTTTCACATTCTTGACAACATTTGGTATTGTCTGTGTTTTTCATCCGAGTCATTCTAGTGAATATCTGTAGTGCTATTTTATTTTACTGTGACTAATGTTTGTGAGCACCTTTCATGTGCTTATTGACCATTCTGCATATTTTCTTTTGTGGTGTGCACATTGTTTCATTGTTTGCTTTTAGGAGTTGTTTATATATTCCGGAAGTGAGTCTTTTGGCAAATACATGCCCTGTGAACATTTTCTTCTACTCTGTGGCTTGTCTATTCATTTTCCTAGTGTTGACAATTGATGAGCAAAAGTTGTAAATACTTAAGGAGTCTAATTTATCAATTTTTTCTTTTATGATTACTACTTTTTAAATCCTAAGGAATCTTAGCCTGTTATAATGAGAACATTTTGTGTTTTCTTCTGCCACCTAGAATTCATTTTTTTGTGTGGTGTGAGATAGGATTAAGATATTCTTTCCCATTGGATTACTTCTGTGTGTTTCTGAATAAAATTGGTTTTAGGTTGTGTTTCCAGTAGTTTATTCTTAAGTCTTAAGCCTTGGTCAGGTTTCATATCATAGGAACTCTAACTTAAGTTTTTGCTTTTAGATTCTATATCTACCATGTTACTCACAGAGAGAAGAGACAGGAACATAAATTGATTAGTTTTTATCCACTATCACTGGTCAGTGTACCTTAAAATACAATCACAATTTGTCCAGAGCCTTAGAAGTCATCTAATCCAACCTCTAACTCCTGGTCTTAGCTGCTGCTTTAACCATTCTCTCCAGACCTGTCTGCTATCCACTGTTGTTCCCTGCTTCTGTCTCTCAGCCTAAATATGCACATGGCATCTTCCCTGACAGCTTACCTGATAGTAGACTCCTGATATTTTTTCAGGTTTTTGAAATACCTGAAAATGTAAGTTTGCCTTTTTTTTTTTTTTTTAAGTCAGTAGTATTTATATTTCAGGTGATATTTGTGTGAGTGCCTTTCAGTAACAGACTTTCCTGATAGATTTTAAAACATGTTTGGGTAGATACACAGCTTTCAGGATTGTGTCTTCTGTTAAAACCAGGCACATCTATGTTTATATGAACAGTGTCTGAGAAATTTTCATTTCATGGTGGTAGTTAAAGATTATTTTATAACAACTAACAAAGGTTCGCCACCATTTTATTATGAGACATGAAGTCATGACTTCCTTCTGGCCTGGTGTTCTGTATCTGAACAATGGTAAATGTAACAGGATTCTATTTGTAGAAATGGCAAAGTAGTCTGATATGTTTGTCTTTGTTAGAAAAGCCCTCAGAGCTTGGGAAGTGGCATTTAACTATTGTAATATCTCTTTTTTACTCTTCTTTCAGGAAGCAAACACAAAATTATTTCTTTGGCAAGTTCTGCAAAGAACAAAAGCTTTAAACCTTACTTTCTCTCATTTGTAAAAGCTCCCATTCTCAGTTTAGATGTAGAATTTGGGAATGGATGCTAAAAATAGAAAATTTATTTGATAGATTATATGCATTCCTTCTTTTTAAATTAAGAATGAGCTAATGTAGAGTGAGTTTGAGTGCTGGAGTTAAAGCATTCTGTAAGTTTGAAGAGGCTGTGAACATCCAATAGTGGTGTTTTGAGTTTAGAGCACTTGGCTTTGTGAGGAATCAGGAAGAGATTAAGAACAGTGAAAAAGTGACTTTTCAGTGCTGATTTTAATTTATGTATATATGATTTCTTCCTTTCCTACTTTACTGGGACTTTGGTTGTTACTTTTAAAGCCTTCCTATTCATTCATTCACTTTTGTGCAAACAAGGACTTCTTACATTCGTGAACTTTTCAAAATAGAGAATTTGGTCAGAAGAACATTTGTTCAGGTTTATATGTATTTTTCTTTTGTGGAGATGGACACTGTATCAGATTCAAAAAGGAAAAACTTGTCCCTTAATATAATATGGAGGAATAGTGTTAAGATCACATTATAGACTTTAGTATCTTTATTTCTATGGTATATGTCTATTGATCTTAATTAGAAGATTTATGTCTAGAAGGAAGATATAGTGATTCATTTATATAATATTTTTCTTGTACTTGCTGAAGTCACTGATCAAGATGAAATCTCAATTAAGCTGCATGTGACAAATGTTGATTTCCTTTGTTTGCTTTAATGGAAGCAGTCTTTAGTACTATCAGCTTGAATTATTTTTAATTGCATCTCATTAAGTATTTTCTTTCTAATAATTTTTAAAGATTTTTTTTCTCAAGTGCTTTGAGCCTCATTTTATAATCTTCCTTTGGATTACCTTTTGTTCTTTTTTGTCTTATTGGAGTCATTTGAAATTAAGTAAATACTGTGTATTTCTCTTTAGTAAGTGTCTTGAAATAAACTTGTCTTTTATTTTTAAATATTATTGAGTATTCATGAGTAAGAAGACTAGGATTTGAGGAATAAGTTGCCAGTTGCTTTGTAATTGTTAAGAAGAATCTGTGTTCCAAAGAAGAATGGTATTTTAATTCCCTCAGTGGAAAGTGCTCAGAATGTGAGAGACATAATCACAGAATTATGGTGTTACAAAAATCATAATTTTTTCATTCTATGATGTGATGTGTATAATTTCTAGCTAATTGCCCCAAATCCTGAGACCTACTCCTGAAGCCTCCCAAACAGCTTTTTAACAGTTTAAAAGCTCGTGTTTTCATTTTTCAGTTACATTTTAACAGTTTAAAAATATACTGCACAATTCCTTGCTTTTTGAAACAAAGTGTAATAAACCTAATTGGTGTTTTCTTGATATTTCAGTGTCATAATTTTTGTATGATTGTTGTTCTAAAGTGATACCCTCAAGGTCACTTGGAGAGTGTTAGGATGTATATTTAAGTAAGCTTAGAAAAAGTATATTTATTTATTTATTTATTTTTTCAGACTTTAAGGTGACTTTTGCCTTTGGGCAGGACTTTTTTTTTTTTTTAAGTGCATTTAAATAGTTTTGTATTTTTAAAAAATAACATTAATTTTTAGAGCAGTTTTAAATTCACAGCAAAATTAGGCAGAAAGTACAGAGGTTTCCTTTTTACCCTATCTCCACATGTGCTCACTGTAATAAGATCACACCAAAGTGGTACATTTTTGATAATTGATGAATCCACACTGATGCATCATTATTGCCAGGAGTCCTTAGTTTACTTTGGGGTTCACTCTTGTTGTTATGTATTTTGTGGGTTTGGACAAATTTATAATGACATGTATCTACCTGTAGTATCCTACAGGTTAGTTTCACTTTCTAAGCATCCTCTATGCTCCACTTAATCCCTTCCTCTCTCCAGCCACTGACAACCACTGGTCTTTTACCTGTCTCCATAGTTCCGCTTTTTCTAGATTCCGTAGAGTTGGAATCATACAGTATGTAACTTTTTCATATTGGCTTCTTTCACTTAGTAATATGTAGTTAAATTTCCTTCCATGTTTTTTCATGGCTTGATAACTCATTTCATTTAGTGTTGAATAATTTTCCATTGTCTGGAGATAACACAGATTATTTATCCATTTGTCTACTGAAGGACCTCTTCATTGCTCTCAAGTTTTAGCAATTATGACTAAAA